ATTAAAACACAGTCTAACAGGCAAGTCCTCCTGGTCTACTCATATATCCACTGTCCAGATTCAATAATCAGGAAAATACAGAAAATGTTACACATCCATTTGCTTAACTTATTCTTTAGGCCATTCCTTCAGTGACTACTTCTTCACAAATTACTACACAGAGATGAGTAAGATGGAGTGCATGCTTTCCAGAGATCCTAGTGTAATGAGGGAGATAAATCAAAATGAGTAATTTATGATAAAGTTTGGTAAGTGTAGTAACACAGATGTAAATAAAACTCTGTAAGAGCTAAGAGAACTGAGCAACTAATTCCACCTGAGGAAATGAGCATAGGGCCTTAAAATATGATGCCCCATTTAAATACGAGAATGGCAGCTCCTCTGTACATAATCTTATATCCCTTAGTCCGCTCCATCAATAAGTGTTCATACACTGAGAAGGAAATACAAACTGCTTTTACAAAGCGAACTTGACAATGAACTGGAAAGATGAAGAAAGTTACACAAACTCTTCAATGGTTGCCTCTACTTATAGTCATTTTTATTATCAGTTCTCTAGTGGGTTGAATGGTGGCCCCCAAAAAAGATATATCCATGGGCTAACCCTTGTAACCTATCCGTGCAACCCTATTTAGAAAATGGGTCTTTGCAATTATTATTAAATAACTCTGAGAAGAGATCATCCTGGATTATCTGGGTGGGTCCTAAATCCAATGACAAATATCCTTGTAAGAAATAGAAGAGAAGACACAGAGAAGAGAGGCTACAGGACAACAGAAAACAGAAACTGGAGTGATGCATCCACAAGGAATGCAATAGCTGGAAGAAGCAAGAAAGTATTCTCCTTCTAGAACCTCTAGAGAAAATGTGGCCATGCTGAAAGCTTAATTTTGAACTCAGGCTTCAAGAGTAAGAACAAATACATTTTTCTCATTTTAACCCATCTAGTATTATATTTGCTACAGCAGCCATGGGGAACTAATGCAAGATCTAAATTAACATATTTCTTTTGCAGCACCAAAGTCAAGAAGCCCTTAGGGGAGCTTAAATAGCATAATTCTGTTTAAGGGAATTATATGAACCAGGTCCCAGCCCTCAGGAAGCTTCCACCAAAACCCCACAGAAATGCTAAAATGGATGGCACACAGCAAGTCTTTGGAGTTCAACGAATCTTCATTTGGGTACCTATTGAGATACTTATCAACTGAGTCACAAAATTTAATAAGCCAGTTTTATCATCTGCAAAATGCAAATTTAAGCATTAAATACACTGCTCCTTATTTAGGCACTGAATAGTTTCCTTCAGTTTCATCATATCTTGTTTACATTCTATTCTCTTTTTAAATCATTTACTTTGAAATAATTACCAACATGATAGATCACAATTCTTTTCTCACTCCCCCCGCACTCCGGTATCACACATCTTGTACAACATCAAAAGTGGGAAGTGGGTACAATCCATAGCATTTATCCAGATCTCAACAGTTAAATATACCCATTGTGTATGTGTGTGTATACATGTACTTGGGCTCACATGTATACCTTTTTGCTATTTTATCACATATATGGCCTGGGTAACCACTGCCATAATCTCAATTGTAACATCAACATAAAATTCCCTCTGTGACCATTTTATGGCCTTACCCCCACCACCCCCCTCTGTTCCTATCCTGGCCACTAATAATCTGTTCTTTGTCTCCATAATTATTTCACCAATGTGACATAATAGAATACTTTATATTGATGAGTAGTATTCTGTGGTATGGATGTGCTAGTTCAGCCTTTGTATTTTTTTTTTAATTTAATTTATCGGAACATTCTAGGTACACAGTACAGTTACATTCATTACTGGGAGCTTGTACCTTTACATGTCAGGTCTTGGTTCTTAGTTCAGCCTTTCATCCACTGACAAGCATCAGACATAAGTAGTCTGTTTGAAGCTATTACCAATAAAGATGCTGCTGTTATTGTGTGAAAATAAGGCTTAATTTTTCTAAGATAAATTTCCAAGAGTGCAACTGCAGGTATTCTTCCTTTGTAGCCTCATTTTCCCAATATCCCACTCCTGCTCCCCATTTTCTAGTCAAATAGGATTATGCGTACCATTTCCTTTTCCTCTCATTCCTCTTTATAATCCTGATGTCATTATTTGCCTACTATTAATACCTGCCATGAATCAATTTTAAGTGGATGAATAATAGAGAAAACAGAGATAGAAAAGAATGAGATGACACAGTATTTTGTTAATTCTATCCCAGTACAATGTCATCCCTCTGTTCTATAAGTCTACATCTTCTCTTATAAAACCTATATTCTGCCACAGGCTCTCACAGATCCCTATTTGTCTTATACTTCTCTTAAAACAGTAAACTCTCTGGAGACAGTCTAATTTCTTCTAAATTTTATATCCACTCAAGCACCAATACAGATGCTCTTTGGCTCACAATGAGTTTCCATTCAGATAAGCCTACCATAGGCTGAAAATACAGTAAATCAAAAATGCACCCAGTACCCCCCCAAAAATACATTTAATATACCTCACCTATCAAACATCATAGCTTAGCAGCACCCTGCACTGCAGAATATGTTGTTAACACCATGATCACATGGCTAACTAGAGAGCCACAGCTTCATGGTCACTGCCTGGTATTAAGAGAATCTATTGGTATGGATGTGCTAGTTATAAGAGAATCTATTGGACCACCTACTGCACGCCTGAGAAAAGAACAAATGTCAAAATGTGAAATAAGTTTCCAACTGTTTGCATGCTGCTTTTATACCACTGTGAAGTTGAAATACTTTAAGTTGAGCCATCATTAAATTGAAGACCACCTGTATCCTGTTTCTGTTAGAGGAGTTAAGTTAATATCAAATCTTCATTGTTGAATGAATGGATGAATCAAAGACAGTCCGTGGTCCTACTGAGGAAACCAAGATGCTACATTTACATAAAAAAGATAGCTAATAACACAAGCCTATAAAGGCGAAGTGCCAAAGAACAAGAAATTTTACAGAAGTACAGAGAAGTAAAAAAAAATCGGACTTTTAGATCTTCAAGTAAACTGAACAAAACTATGAACGCAAGAGTAGAATTCAAAACTGCAAAAGAAGGAGTCCTTTATTGGTAGCCATTATTTAAACATGTGGGTCGATTTTAACCTTCATAGCTGCTGGATGATATTCCACAGCACGGATAAGCCACAATTTATTTAACTATTCTGATGGACATTTAGGTTTGTAACATTTAGGATTAAATTTGGATCCAAGTTTGAGAAACCCCAAATACGGGTGTTATAAACACAAGATACTGTATTTTTCTCTTGCATGGAGAATCCCAGAATTCTAGAAAGTTAAGGGTCATTATGAACTTCAAGGTCTTCAAGGACCAAGCTCAAATTTTCAATTCCACCATTGTACCACATGGCTTCTATTTCAAATGGTGCCTTGGCACATACTGTTATAGACAAGTGAAAGGAAAGAAGAACAAAATGGCCTGTCTCCCACCTAAACCAGTTCTCATTGTGCAGCACTACAGAAGTTTCATACCGTACTTTTAGCCCTATCTCAGTAAACCAAACTTAAATGGCTATGCCTAGCTGCAAGAAAAGCTAAAAATTAAAAATATATTTTTTATAAAAAGTGATCTTTTACATGAGTGTGTTGCTGTCCCATATAAAATTAAGATTTTGTAACTAAAAAAGGATAATAGATACTGGGTACCAACAAGCAGTGAGAAAGCAAGACTAACAATTACAAGTATGTATATCATTTCTTAAGGTCAGAGGAAAAAAAAGCTACACTCTGGCATCATTTGTTTTACAAAGTATTAAAATTTGATGTACTCAAATTTATCAGCCACATCTTTTATGATGGGGGGGTTGCCTTGATTTTTAAATAGGCTTTCCTACCCAAAATTACAAGTATATTGTCCCCTGGTATTTTGAGGTTTACTTATTATATTTAACCTATTTGGATATTATTGTCATATACAGTATGAGGTAGAATTTTCTCTAATTATCTTGCTAAAAGGATAGCCAACTATCCCAATACTACATATTGAATGATCTTATTTCATTCCCTACTTTGAAATGTTATCTTTATCATATTATCACAGGCTTACAAGCTGTTCCTGGATTTTTTTTTTTTTTTGGACCAGGATCAAACCCAGGACCTTGTACTTTCCAGGCAGGTGCAGGGCCACTCAACTACATCCCCCACTCCATTTTTCTTTTCTACAGATCTGTTTACCTGTTTCTACACAATACTACAAAATTTTAATGCCCAAAATTCTACAGTATGTAGTAGGCAAAAGTTTTCCTATTTTATCTCTTAAAAAGAAAGTTACCTACTCTCATAAATTTTCTTTTCCAGATAAATTTTTAGATCAACTTACTACATGTCCTTTAAAAATCCAGGCCGGGAGTTGGGGGGGGGTGGAATTTCCTTAAATTTTAAAGATTAGAGACTACTTTTTCAAGACCATTTGCACATTTATCAGAATGTACAGTATTCATCAAAGGCTATTCAGTAAGCTCTATGGAAAATTAAAAGATCTTAGTAGGTAGAAAGTGGCTAGGATTTGAAACCAGATTTCCCATCTTCAGCCAACAGTATCTTTTTCTTTTCCCCTTTTACTGCTACTTTGTCAAATACAAAGATCATCTCTGAAATAAGTATATGGGCTGAATAAATGTGTAATATTCAGCTTCATTTTATTTTATCCTCTACAGACAGATGCCCAAAGGATAAAAGTGCGTGTAAGGGGAAAAAAAAAAGTTGGCGTGAGGAATACGGGGAATGTTCCTCTGCACTGTCTGGGTTAGACCTGTCCCTTTCTTTCCCTTAACCAAAGACCAGTGCCTAGTACTTATTTTGCAGTGGCGTTTCTGATATTTCTAAGAATTTCAAGTGACACTACAATCTGAAGCACAGCCCTACTCCCGGAAAGGCAGGCCCTAGCTGAAAGTATCTTTTTCTAAAATCTGTCTCTGACTTTGCAGAGTCGCAGCCCTGCTCTGATGAAGAAGCCTGCTCGGAAGTCTTCCTCCCCACGGACAGTGACTATGACTCCAGTGATGCCCTGAGTCCCCGGGACTTGGACTTGGTCTACCTGTCTGCACATGACATCGCCCAACAAGCCCTCAGCGGCCTCAGCGGCAGTGCTCCCGACGTCCTACAAGTGCACGACATGAAGAGCCCGACTGGACCAGGCCAGGACACGATGGGCCGGGCTCAAGGTTCAGACCCGGACCACTCCTGCGCAGAACTCCTCCACAGCCTGACGCTCACAGGATTCACACCCAAGATCTACACCAAAATGGCACCAGGCGCGCGGCCGCCGCTGGGCTTCCTGGGAAAGCGGAAGCCGGCCAAGCACCAGCACTATGGTGGCTTCAGCCGCCACCACCGCTGGCTGCGCATGCACAGCGAGACACAGTCTTTGTCACTTTCCGAGGGTGTCTACACCCCGCACCTGTCCCAGGCCTGCGGCCTGGATCAGGACCTCGGGGAAGCCGAGCGTCCTGGTCCAGCGCTCGATGGGCCCCGGGGCCTGGGCCTGGCTCATGCCACCAGCCTCCCGGAGGAGCAGAAGGGCTGCCTTCAGGACCCCAGGCCTTCTATCCGCCGCATCTACGTGGAGCCCTATGCTGGGGCCCTTGTGGGGCAGGACGCAAAGCCATGGGCCGGCTTGAGCCCAACGCCTGGAGACCGCGCCTGCCTGCCTAGCCCCTCGGGCCCTGAGATGAAGCCAGAGGATCCCACCTCACCGGTATCAGAAATACTCAGCAGCATGCTTTAGGGAGACATGATGGCTGTCCACTGCGGCACTCCCATCCCTGCATTTTCCATCACCCTACCCCAGCCTGCCCCACTGCCTTCCCAGCCCATTTTCACGTTTTGAATGTTACAAATCCAACGGTTTCAGATTCAAGGCCCTCTTTTTGGAAAGTAGAGGGGATGGAGGCCAGAGTGGCCAGTGCCATTCCCATTTCAGCCTAGAAAAGGCATGGAGGAGTTTTTGTATCACACGAAGTCTGAGACGCAGTGATTCAGTACCCCGGCCATGGTACCTATTGCTGTGGTAGAACAGGCCAAAGAGATACCACTCTGCAGCTGGTTCTATAGTCTGACCCCTGGGCTTAGGGCTCTTTCATGAATTTGGATGAAGAGAAGTTCTATAGATGGAAATAAGATTGGCATTGGTTTTCCTTCCAATCCAAACCTTGAGAAGAGTTTGGAGGAAAGAGGCCCTGATTGTTTCTTCATGCCATGGGATCAAGAAGGCTTGTGTTAGGTTTCCTATCAGCTAAACTGGAAATGGTTTAGGTCATGCCAAAGTGCAGGGTTCTCAGAATTCACCAAATCCAATTTATAATCAGGACTTAACCCAAGTAGGCCCTTACTGCTGTGTGGAGATCACCAGAAACAAAAGTGGAACACACTTCCAGCTCTGTCTTGCAAAGATAGAATAAGGCAAGAAGAAACCCTTCCAGCACACTCAGCTCCTATTTAAATGTGAAAGTGAGTATCGAATTGTTCCATGGTGCAAGGAAATGGATGAATTAAGTGAAACCGTAATTTATAGATAAGAGGAGGGAGAAGAACATAAACAAAAGTATATTTCCTTTACTATTCTAAAACAAACTAAGCAAACTAAGTCCATAAGTCTGTCAGTGAAAATCACATTGGATCTTCTCCAGATTCTGAAGTGATGAAATAGTCATGGCCTGCACATATGGCCAGGCAGTGGTGGACTCCTCACAGCCCCACAAGCACATCACTAGCTCCATATCACAGATGAAGACAAATTGCCCCAGGCTACAATGGCTACCTTCCTCTCTCAGTCACTCCTTTAAACATCAGTTTTGCCCCCAAGATCATCTGGCCAGGTGGCTATAAGGAAAAATCTTTCCTTCAAAGCCTCACCAGTGGTTTGCTCCAAATGTGCTCAAAATACACATGGGACTCCTGCTTTGGTCACATGGCCTACTACCTGAATTTCTCACAAATGAGAAACTCAAATCAAAGAGAAATCACACTGCCTATTCAAGAAAGTCATGAGTCTTCTCAACTCCTGGAGCCAAGACCATTCAGTTCACTGACATTCTAAATGGTCCTTTTCTGCTTCACAGGCATTTCAGTTAAATATTGCTCTTTATGACCCTATTCCCGTCCTCATAGTCCTACCATTTCTCCTCATGGGAGTTCATACAAAGTCCCCTGTTCACAATGTTATTCTGATCCCTTCCATTTTTAAAACATTTAATTTAAACATAAATAATTACCCCGCTGGAAAGGTGCAGATTTGGCCCACGGCCTACAGCCATTAGAAAACTAAAGCCTAGAGCTCAGTCTTTATTTTTTTAAGAGATGTTATACTTAGTGAACCTCCCAAAGAATCTTGATCAGAATCACTACAGCTTCTTTTCTATGCCTGAGAGGATTTTAAAAAACAGCTTTCTTCTGTCTGAGTGAATTCTGTGCATATGGGAGGAGTGAAGGTTATAACTAAAAGGGGTCATAAAATTTTTCTTAAATACTTTACAGGTAGGGCTGCTGAGGCCCAGAGAGGTTAAGTGACTTGCTCAAGGTCATGGCTTGTTTAGTCTCAGAGTTAGGATTGGAAGACCACAACCATTCCCTTTATAGTAGTCTGTCCCAGTGGGAAATGGTACACACCTCATCAAGACCTGCCTACAGGCAATTTACTCTTTGTCAAAATTATCTACTTCTTATTCCAAATTCAAGTCCTTTGCTCAACATTTACCAAAAAAATTTTCCAGTATCACAGAGCTCCCTTTTGCTAGGGAATACAATTATCAGGTGATGGATCTCTAAGCTAAGTTTGCTAATTAAAAAGCTAATTTGGGAGAAATTTCAATTATGTTAGATAATAACATACCTTAGTTATCTTAGTTAATAGTAGAGTTATCTGCTCTCAGCTTCTACTCATTGCTAACTAGAAGGCAGTCTATGTATATTGAATGAGTTTGTGAGGTAAGATTGTCCAGAACTAACAAGCCAAGCGAGCCTCTGCTCCTGTTGGTTCTGCTGATTCAGGAAGCTGTCTGTGAGTGGGAATTAGATGGGAGGTGTTTACCAAGCAGCTGAGGCAGAGACTTCCCACCCTTCCAATGCCTTGTTTAGTCAGTAAGTTCTGGCTTTGTGGACCCAAACTGCATTAATTTTTAAACCCAGTCGTTTATATAGAAGACACCAAGTTTATTTTCATTTCCATGAGAAAAAGAGGCATGCTCACGAAGTGAATAATGCACAGTAAATTTCAATAGGCATACTTAATCCATTTGTTAGCAAGTACATTTTGCTAGCAAGATTCCCATAAGGACGTGTTATATCCTCAATAATTAGCTATTTATTCAGGTAGAGTTACCCTACAACTCTACAACACTTGTGAGCCCGGTCTAAATTAATACAGTTTTGTGACCAAAAAAGAAATATATCCTCTGCTTCAGTTTTTTATTTATTTGCTTTTAAAAAATAATAGACTTCACAAAGTCTAGGGATTTTTGTTTGCATTACTTTATTGGTTTGGTTGGTTTGGTTTTGCTTTGCTTTGCTTTGCTTTGGATACAATGGATTTGCTCTTTTATTCATGTGAAACACAATCTGAGAAGCTCTGGAGGAAATTTTCCTGACCCAGGTTTCTTTTCCGGGGCTTTGCAATAGGCTTTCACCTGCATTACCAAGGTCTCATCCCTTGTGGAAATCCTTAAAAATCATTGACTGAGACTCTCTCAGATCTATGCCTATTCTAACAGCTACAGAGAACCAAACAATCAAGTGTGAAACACTTTCCTGGGCACACATGAAGCTCACAAATCTGATCTAAGAATGTAGCCATACAATGACTGTGCATCTTGTCACTGATGTCTTAGAAGAGACACAAGCCTGTCACCTCGGCCACGTGGACATAATTCATGTTTGGCTAGACTTCTTTGATTACACTCCTGCTACCTATTCATGAAAGAGCCCAGCCCAGAAAATAGAAGTTGGGGATGCAAACTCTGTGCAACCACTGACCAGGCTTTCACATCCTCTTGATTGGCAAAGGTAGCTGTGGGATTATAATTAAAAACATTCACTCTAGGTATTGATATTTTGAGAAGTGGGTACTTAAAGACGAGATCCATTCCATTTTAAGAACGTTCACAAATGCTCGAAGCAATAATTACACTGGAGAAAATGGTTCCATTTGGTTTGAAATTGAAGCCACTTAGTAATAATATTCTGCCAGTCCCCTTTCCCAAAGGGATCCCAAAGCACTTTATGAAAAGCAATGACTGAAGCCTTGTTATACTCCCCCAAAGAAACCTTGTCTGGGAGCCACCTGGCAAACACCTACCCCATCCTTGCCAGGAGATCATGCCAGACAAGTGGAAAAGAGGACTGGCCTCTCCTTCATTGTTGTCTTACCACACAGACATGTACCCTGGTGAGGGTTGAGCTCTTCCCTGGAAGATAACGCTCTTAGACAAGGAGGTCTACCAGAAAACCCCAACTCCGTGGCCTTCTCTTGTTCTTCGCAGTCCACCCAAGAGATACTCACTTTTCTTGGAAAGCTATCCACTCAAACTGTCAAGGGTCTGTGGCGCATTTTAGTTCGCTAGTTATGTTAACAGCTCTCAGAACTCACTGGCTTCTGAAAATGTATACATATTAGGAAGAAGATGCCAGTAGCCTGCAGCTTCTCAACTTTATAGGTAGTAGAGCTATGACAGACAGTACACATCTTTGTATATTTGTTTATTAAACTGTAACATACCAATTAGAAAGGCCAGTTATAGATTAGCAAGAGCATACTCTGTGAATTCACTGTTACATTGTCATTTTATAAAGTCTAAATATTTTTCCAGATGATTCAGTGAAGCAAATCTGGAATTTTTTAAGGTCATATCTTTCAAGAAAATAATTTAAGTAACTATTTGGAAAGCAATGGTATCTCTACATGGGCAGTAGGGTGAACAAGGAAAAATTTTGTTTCTTTACTGGTCATTTCTCATAAGATGTTCAAACACATGGCTTATGACTGTTAAGATAAACTTCGATGCAGCCTTACAAACAACAAGAGTAGTGTATTTGAAAATATGTTGTATAGCTTGGAAACTTATTCTAAGATTTTAATTCAGAGTTTTTCTGAGGTGTTGAACTTTGCCATTAGCAAAAAGTATTTTTAGAAAAAAAATCCATTGACTGTTTATGAAGCACTGATTTTGCCATATTTCAGGTCTCTGGTTTTTCCACTACAACTGCACACAGTAGCTATATTTGCTTTTCAATTATTTCTTCTATTTTCATTAATAATAAATTTTAAATGGTTATTCAAAAGGACAGTTGGTTTTATTTAACAATGGGTAAATGAATTATTTTGATAAAGAAAGTAGACTTCTTGTTGCTGTTTTCTTACATATGATCCTAGGGTCCTTACCCTCCAGACACGCACATTTTTAATTTCAGCAAAAGCCACTATATATTTAACTTAGTGGCAAATGTTATGAAGTTGTTACTTAATCCTTCTTGCTTCTCTTCTTTCAGTCCATTATATAAAAGTCTGAATATACTTTCACAGTAAGCACCATCCAATAACTGATTTACAGAAGCCAAGTGTGGCAAATTGTAAGTCAGCCTGAGTTTCTGTGTTGCCTCTTGCCTTGTGACAAACCAGATGATTGGAGATAGGAGATATCTCATGTATGTCATCACAAGCATCAGCTTGATGTTTGTGATGGAAAAAGAATGTGTGTGTGTGTGTGTGTGTGTGTGTGTGTGTGTGTGTGTGTAGAGAGAGATGTTTCATAGGAAAAGTAATTTAAATGACATTCTATTAGGCAATGTTTAATTGCTTCCTGCCTAATGTGTACATAGTAATCTGGCTGATTATTGGTTGTTATTTGTTCAGAATTTATTGTATCTTGTTGCTATGTATGCAACTGAGTGTATGTTAAAGTTTAGACTTCGATACATTATCTGCACAATTTTGTGTGCTTTACACCTCTGTAAATATACAGATGAATCTTGTACGGTGTGTTCAAGGTTGCTTCCAATCTTGAAACAATAATATTTTGTAGTATACACATTTGGAAACTATTTGAACATTTTAAATGGATATTGTAAATGACCGGTACCTTCGATTAAAAACAGCACGGGTTACATGCATGCCTCTTTAGCCTACTGATTTAGAAGAGGAGGTCAGGGGTTAACAAGAATTGAGATAATTTTCTAATGGCAAGTATTTTTTTATAATTTCCAATCTGCCTAACTGTATTTTCAAGAAAAATTGTCAACAGGAGAAATCTTAAGTATCAGAGAGAATGACTTCGTTTCATAAGCATTAAAAATACTTTGTACTCCACCCAAAATTGTTGAACTTTAGGTCAAGGGTGAAGAAGTCAAAAATGTTTCTGATTCTTCATAAGATTTTGTGTTGTTTAAAGAAGTTTGTGAGCCTTTTGTCTGCGGTGTGGAGAAATGTCGATTAAATAAACTTTGTTTTCAGTGTGAAGAAATACCAATTAAATAATAAATTAACAGAATTCTCAGTACTTGGCTTACCTAGTGTTTTTTGCATGTCTCAATGAAGACAAAAATTGTTTAGTCTGAGCTTTTAAAATCTCCTCACTAAAACCTTGGAAGTCTCATTGTTTGGGGCACTGTTTTGACAATTATTAGGAAAGTCTGACCAGTTGGCTCTTGATTAATCAATCAATAGCTTTGGGGTTATTTCTCTTTCCTAATTGGTTGTAGCCAAGTATTGAAAATATAGCAGCCGACTGCCAAGGTAAATACCCTCACCAGGTTGTACCCTTACCAGGTGATATCCTTGGCTATCTTAACCTTGCTTCTTCCTCCACTGCATGCATGTTTGAACATCTAGAGTGCATTCTGCATGTGCTGTCCTATCTTGATTTCTCTACCTTATTTCCACACCCACAAAGCTCCTTCTCCTCCCACTCCCTCTGGCTGAGATTTCAGATTTCTTCTGTGTTTGAGAACACTACAAAGAGACTACTTCGGTCCCAGGAACCTGCAAAAACTTTCTTCTGAATTTCCAAGGACAGGAAATGTGCTGCTTTGGACCATGTATTTGTCTTGTGTTGTCTTGCAGAATTCTTTTACACATGCGCGCGCACACACACACAAATTCAACTCTCCATCAACATGTTTGTGGTCGGCATTTCTGACAGTCTCAGAGGGCTGTTTTGTTGTCCTGACCAAATATGCTGTTTTCCCTATGTAAATTGTCATCTCCCTAAGCAAACCATTACTTTCTTTTACTAATTCTGTCTTTAAATAAAAGTTTACCTTCTTTTTCAAACCAAACAAATGCCACTGCTCTTTAATATCCCCCTTTCCCTGTGAACACTCTTGGGGAGGTATTCAGGGAGGGACAGAATGGGATAAAGGGTAAGAGGAGGCCTTTCAGATTAACCTCATGGGGGGGAAGTATGCTTCCCTTGAACATTTAGCTCTTTTGATAAAGTATATCAAGAAACACAGTGTTTCCGCCTGTCAACAAAAAATAATTGCTTCTTTTCTAGACTCTTTTATCTATTTGAGGGTCTACTAAGTAAGAGAGAAAAAACTCATAAGGAAATTTTCTTGCCTAGAATTATCATAATGTCAAAGAAGTTAGATCTTTCCAATAATTTTTTTAATCACTGAAATGCATTTCATCTTCAGATAGTTTATGGAATTTTCTCCAGTCCTGTCAATCCTTGCATTCTGTTATTTCACCTAAGAAGGCACTGGTGTTGACTAGAAGAAGTTAAGCTCCAGGTGGATACTAGACTAAATCAGAGGCTCTACGTCAAAAGCAACTCCCTGTTTAGTCATTATCTCCCCAGAACAGTTCCTAGCACAAATACCTGCTAAATGAGTGATAAATTGATGACTAACACAAATTGTAAAGAGATCACTTAAGATCAAGTTAATTGCTCCACAGAGAAAGCATGTGAAGGTCTTTCCAAATGTCTTCCAACTTGGGTCTCTCTAAGTGGTTCAGATAAAACTCAGTTCAGTTTGTCCTAGGACAGTCTGAAAAGTGCCACCACCTGCTTCACACAAATCTCCAGAGCACTGTGTTAGCGTTGGCCCTTAGAAGGAAGCAAAAGTCCTGCGGATGAGATGACCCTTTCTTATGGGTAAACTACAGTGCAACAGTTGTCTGAGCATCACTTCCTGCCCAGCCACTGGGCACAAGAATTGACAGGCAGACCACCGATCCCAGACCCTCTGAGTACCCACAAAACCCATAAGAATCCTGTCCCAGTGACCAATAAGGCTGCCTTTGCACAAGCCATTTTCCTCCTCAAGCTTCTCATAGCCTCAGTGTCCTACATGTTCATAAAACCCTCTCACAATCACCATCTATGTCATGTTAATGAACAGCTCTAGGAGGTGATGGGGACTAGAACTTTTA